AACCATAGCCAATCTATGTATAAAAAGGAAAAAATACTTTAGATATATACTTTTTTTTTTTACTCATCTTTGCGCGACCGGTGTACCAACCCTCAATAAGGGAATATCGTTAGTGGTACACATGTGGGCCAAGACGCGGGTAACGTGTTCGATTAATCTTAGCACGATGACAAATGATGGGAAATGAACATGAACATGAATGTGTAATTTCATAGTCATGTTTTCCGTTGCAGGTTATACAGAATATGTTAAGGGAAAGCAGCTGTGTACCAGGTGCGGTGAAGAATTAGAGAACTGTTGGCTCCCAGAATGTAAGTGCAAATATTATCCACTGCATAAACTTATGTACATAGACAGACAAATATATGTTTGTAGATATGTTTGTATAGGTGTGTGTATGTGTAAATGTGTATGCACAGGTAGGTAGATACATGCAGCATATACTGTCTATGTGTGTGTGTGCGTGAAGAGAGAGAGAGAGACAAGCAGACATTGTAGTTCCTTTTACGTAAGATATCATTTTCTTCGGTTTTTTTTATTCGTCTGTTTTTACAGTAAACCATACGTTCCGCATTTTTCTTTCGTTTACACATTCATTAGTGTGATTGAATTTTTAATTCTAGGCAGTTATTATATATTTTTTATATTTTTACAGCAGCACAAAGATACAGGAAACATCATCTCGCATCCTTAACTAATCTCATATAACGAAGAGGAAAAAATATAAAGACCTATTACAAATATCTTATACGATGCCTTATTTCAGGGCTGGACGAGTACGAAATCGGCAAGCTGACCAATGATTCCCTGGACCTGATGCTGAAAAAGAGTGAGATCCCTGACTTCACTGACATCGCCGACCTGTACGCCATCCCGCGCGAGGAAAGGCTAAACAACACCATCGCGGCCGAGGACATCGTGTACTCGTGTACTTTCGACAATCGCCGCTGTAACCACACGTAAGTTGGGAACCACATGTACAACAAACAAGTACATGCACGCATACATATCCATACTTACATACACAAACATATAGACACATGCACACACACATACTTTTTTCTTTTTCTTTTTCTTTTTTACTTATATCAGGGGAAACACCAGAAAGGGTTCCCCATCCTCCAAACTACAGCACATTTGAGTAGTGTCCTTTGCCTTCTAGACACACTTTGACCTCCACATTCCCGTATCGTCTGCACGCTGGTTGTTTTTAGTATACATAAAAAAGAACAACAGGTAACTCACCCAGACCATTTTTTTTTTTCTCAGCCGACACTTAATTCTTACAAAACCGTTGTGTCTTTTCTGATTTATATGGATATGTATATTATTTTCATTGAAATACGTCGCCTTCAGTACTATTTTGTTATTATTTCTCAAAAGGGACTTGAAAACTCGGAATGCTCCAGTGTGGGTTGCCAGCTTCTCTTTCTTGAGCTTAGACATACCTTAAGCCAGCCCTGTGCAACCTGCGGCCCAAGGGCCGCATGCGGCCCTCAAAGGCTTTCATTGCGGCCCTTTCTCCTAAAAATAAATAAACTATAGTGCGGCCCTCAGAGAGAGAGAGAGAGAGAGAGAGAGAGAGAGAGAGAGAGAGAGAGAGAGAGAGAGAGAGAGAGAGAGAGAGAGTGAGTGAGTGAGTTACCAAGTAGAGCCCACCGAAAGTTTGACAAAATTCATATTCTCGTGTACCAGTATCACCATATTTTTTCTATTTCGTTCACTAAGGTACAGATTTTAATTATATTAGAACAGAAAATAATATATTACTTGACATTTTTAATAATTAGATTGAGTGATCATTGGCTGTCTGTCTATGAGTCATTTGCTAATTTATAGTAAGGAAAATGCATTTGTTTCGGAGAATTCTTATTTTTGTGATCCCAATATAAATAAAATCAGTAACAAAATTATTTCCTACCTTTATCAGTATAATCTCACATAATATATCTTCGACCGTAGTAAATAACATGAAATAGTAAGGTTATGTGGCCCTCCATACCAACAGAGTCGTGACTAGTGGCCCTTTGGGAAAAAAGGTTGCACACCCCTGCCTTAAGCAATCCATGAACCGTATTCAGTGCGACGTAGAAAAGGTATGAATGAGAATGAACATCTTCACGGTCAGAATGCATCTCTTGCATTCTCGTTCATATCTTTTCTACGTAGAGAACTATATACGAAAAGTTCTTTCTTTGCTCACGTGGCACCAAATTACTAACCATTATTTTACCGTGCCGTAAATTAAGGCACTTTTATTCGTGAGTGACTTTAACCACGTGACATTAAAATAATAACCATTCATTCAAGACACTTTTACACTGGATGAGTGACAAATATGTCCAAAATATACGAACATGCCCAAAATATACGAATATGCCCCTAAAAAAATGCGAATATGACCCTAAATATGCCTAAAATATACGAATATACCACCAAAATATACGAATATCCCTAAAATATACGAATATGCCAAATATATACGAATTTCCTCCATAAAATATGCCTGAAATATACGAATATGCCTAAAATACATGAATATGTCCCTAAAACACATGTGGCCCTAAAACATTAACCATTCTCTTGCTGTGCGTCATTCCAGGCACTTTCACACGTGGATGAGCGACGAGTATGGCACTTGCTACACGTTCAACAGCTTCTTCAAAGTCAATAACAGCAAGATTGAGACAACGAAGAGGGCGGGGCCTAAGGTGGGCGTGGCAGTAGTGTTTCTAACTGGTGATCATTGTGATAATATTTGATGGTGATAATGAGGATAGTGTTAAGGATGATGGTGATAGGAGTCAGAAGGAAGAGGAAGAGAAGGGGGTGATAATGATAGTGTTAAGGATGATGGTGAGATGAAGGAGGAGGAGGAAGAGGAGGATAATGATACGGACAATGATAAACGTAAAGGAACAAATAAAAAAAATGTAGGTAGAAAGAAAAATAATATGGACAATATCTCGAACTAATTCACTATAAATGTGAACTAAAGTAAAAACAAAATAAAGCGATCCATTTTTTTTGTTTGTTTGTTTCATTTTTCTGATGCGGAGCCCAGTCTAATTCGGAACGTCATGATTTATTATTCCATTGGTTTCATAAATCATCCTCGTATACGCGTTAATGTGTTTGTATTTATTGTTATCATTTTATCTTTTGGCCTTTCTTGACCTTTTTTTTTTTTTTTGAGAACCCCCTGAAATGACTTCAATCGAATGCCATTGACCTGACCCCAAGTTTTTATTTCTTTTCATTCACCTTTTGTCAACGACCTCTTTTATCTCTCCCCTCTCTCTTTCCTCTCCCCATCTCTCTCTCCTCTCCCCTTCTCACTCCCCTCTCCTCCTCTCTCCCTCTCTCTCCCTTCCTGCCCTCTCTTCCTCTCCCCTCTTCTTTCTCCCTCTCCCTCTCTCTCCCCTCTTCCCTCTCTCCTCTCTCCCCTTTCCCCCTCTCTCCCCTCTCCTTCCTTCTCTCCTCTCCCCTTCTCTCCCCTCTCCCTCTCTCTTCTCTCCCTTCTCTCTTCTCCCCCTCTCTCCCTCTCCCTCTCTCTCCCTTCTCCCTCTCTTTCCCCTCTCTCTCTTCTCCCCCTCTCTCTCCCATCTCCCACACTATACTGTGTATTCAAGCGCGTATAGAATCACGTGGCTGTTGCTTGCCACGTGGATCCTCAAAGTGGTCTGCCCACGCGGATGGGCGAAGGCGCACCCACGCCTCTAGGTAACCTCGCCCCCCACGCCACGTCTTGGATATTTAAGGCCCGCGTTTGACCCGGTCAGAGTCAGTGCTCACAGGTCCCGGGCCTACGGCTCAGGCGGTCACTTCTGCCCTCCCGGGCTGACCGCGACCTTCCCTCACTCAGACCTGGTCTCGTTGGTGTTCATATCTCTGTGTGTTGTTGTACTCTTGGAAAATAAAGAGTCAAAACCATTGTCTCCTATCACTACTCCTGCAACCAATGTTTAAGGCGTCTCCTCTCTCTCATTCTCCCCATTCCCCTTCTCTCTCTCTCCCCTCTCCCTCTCTCCCTCTCTCTCCCCTCTCCCTTTCTCTCGCCTCTCCCCCTATCGACCCTCTCTCTCTCTCCTATCCCTCTCTTTCTTCTCTCCTCTCTCCCTCTCTTTCCCCTCTACCTCTCTCTCCCATCTCCCTCTCTCTCTTCCCTCTCCCCCTCTCTCTTCTCTCTCCCCCTCTCTCTTCCCTTTCCCCCTCTCCCCCTTCTCACACACTCTCCTCTCTCTCATTCTCTCGCCTCTCACTCTCTTTCCCCTCTCCTCTCTCTACCCTCTGTCTCTCTCTCCTCTCTCTCTCTCTCAATCCTCTCCCTCTTTCTCCTTCACGACTTCCTCTTCCCTCTTACCTCTAACCTCCCATCTTTCCCTACTCTTCCCTCCTTCCCTTTTCCTCCCCCCCCCCTCCTCATTCCCCTTCCTTTCTTTCTCTTCCCTCTCTCACCCTTTTCCCCATTCCCATCTCCTCTCTCCTCTTCCCTCCCTTCCTCCTTCTCCCTCCTTCTCCCCTCCTTCCCTATCCCGCCCTCTCCCATCTCTCCCTCCCTTCTGCCTCCCAACCTTAAAAACTTGACTTTACTTCACCCCTGCAGACCGGCCTCAAGGTCACCCTCGACGTCCGGATGGGCGTCGCGCTACTCACGCCCGAGGTCGGAGTGCGAGTGATTGTCCACGACCCGTACCTCCTGCCGGCGCTGGACGAGGAGGGCTTCAGCATCGGGCCGGGCGTGTCCTCCATCGCCGTCAGGAGGGTGAGCGATTGTGACGCGCTGATGAATATTGTAATTAGAATGTGATGATACGGATTTGCTCTGATTGATCATAACACCGCTAACGACATTAAGAATGTGGTAGTATAATATAAAAGAAGTGGTAAGGATTTTTTTGTGTTCGTAACACTGGTGATGATAATAAAGATGAAATTGATGGCAATCATAATACTGAGAATAATAAGGGTAATGGCCATCTGCAGTATCGCAACCCATCATGATTACCATAACAAACATGGTAGTAATAATAGTAATAGTAATGATAGTAGTAACATAAAAGATAAATGTTCATGCAGGAAAAGGAAAAACACCAAAATAAAGCAGTTACGATAACTAATAGCATGTTGAATCCTAGAAGAGAGATATTAATCAATATTTTTTGTGACTTAAAAGACCAAGTACGAACGCCTCGGAGAACCTCATGGCGTTTGTGCGAATGACTACGGCTTCGACCATCCTTACAAGTATTCGAGAAAGGTGAGGTGGGAAAGCTTCAAAGGGTATTTTAAGTATTTTTGTGTTTATGTTATTATGTGTTTGTTTCGTTTTGTCTGCGTTGTTTTAGTTTTTAGGTGACCCATTTTGTGTATGCAGATGGAATCAAGCGTTTCGAATCCATCAGAATCCTCCCCTAATCTTATAATTCACCGAAACGAACCAATTCCATCTCTTCAGCTGCCCTAAAATCTCATTCATCCATTTTCTACATTTGCCACAACGATTTCTATTAAGATGGCATGTTTTCCCCCCCCCACAGCTTTGCAAACAGCTGTGTGTCGAGCGTGAGTTTCGAGAGCGGTGCGGGTGTTTCATCGGACAGAATCCTCTTTACGATACGCTGGAGACGGTACCAGAGGACCGATGCTCATTTGTTGACCGCAAGCAAGGTATGTGCGGTTTTATGCGCACGTACAGACAGGAACAATAACCCTAAATGAAACTTCCACACTTTCCTAATTCAACTGACATGAAGCTTCGAGACTTTGCTTTTCTAACTGTAAATAAAGCTTCGATAATCTTTTCTGATACTGGATGAAGCTTCGATTGTCTCTTAACCTAACTGTCAGTGAAGCTTCGAGACTCGTACTTATCAAGATGGGTCACATTATTTGCCCATTCGAGACAGTTCGAAGCGTGATTTATAAGATATACATATTTTATGTACACAGGGACATACATACATTGATAACTGTTACCTATTATCAGGGTTTTTTTTCTGAAACTTGGGAAACGCACATTTCACCAAGTTCGTCCCATCGTTACCTGCGCCCCTATACTTATATAAGTGTGTGTGAATAAAGTATGTATGTGTGTGAATGTATATATGCGTGTGTTAATATGCATGTATGTGTTTGTGTGTTTGTAAATCCGTATATGTGTTTATATTCATGTATGTATGTGTTTGTGTGTGTATGTGTATTTGTGAACGTATATATGTGCACTATACACAAATATGTTTATACATATTCTCCTTTAAAGTGCTGTGTATGGCCAGCGTGACAAAGAGCATTGAAGAGGAGACCATCCAGTGTGATTGTCAGCTTCCCTGCAGGTATGACATGTCTCATTTGTACTTTTTAAAATAGTTGAATATCACACTCCTTTTACTTTTCTTTCTTTTCTTTTCTTTGCTCTACCATACCTTTTGCGACGATATATCCAAGTTCACAGTGACTATTTTTATGTTCACTTCTATTGTGTTTATGTCTATTTCGTTTTGTTCACTTATTTATATCATTGTATTTCTATGTCTCTCTCCCCCACAGCGAAATGATGTACGATACCCAGGTAACAACAAGTAAGCCTAATGCTGTGTATTACAACATCCTTAGTCAAACAAGGAAGCAGTTACAGAGTTTATGTACAAAGTAAGTGTTGTTTCTCACTTTATTCCAGTTATGGTTGCATTTTTGTTCGCACTTTACTATTTGTCTGCCTTGTCCATTGTAGCTGTTCGGCCTGTTATGGGCAATTTTGTCTTTTAGATGTAACTGCTTTGTCGGTTATATGTAACTGATTTGTTATATTTGATTATTTTGTCTGTTATAGGCAATGATTTCGTCTATTCTAGTTAACTGTCTTGCATGTTTTAAGCAATTTTTATGTCATAGGTTACTGTTTGATCTACTGTAGGTAACAGTTTCGTCTGTTATAGGCAATTATTTGGTCTGTTGTAGACAGCTGTTTGGTCTGTTGTAGATAACTGTTTTGTTTGTTAATTGTTTCTGTTATTGGTCATTTTCCTTTGAGTATATTATGCTAAGTATAATGCATTTTATCTTGCTTTATGAATAAATATCTTTATAAAAGCATATACATGGATATATACATACACACCCGCGGGCGCGAACAAATACGCAGACAAGCAGCCACACACACATACACGCACGCGCGCGCACACACACACACACACACACACACACACACACACACACACACACACACGCACACACACACACACACGCACACACACACGCGCACACACACACATATGTATATATACCTACGTATACGTATACATAAATACATACACATACACACACAAACGGAGCCTTCCCTGTATATCGGAAAAGGCTTAATACATATTTCTATTACTCACAGCGAGAGCCAGATGGTCAGTCTCCTCGTGTACCTCGACTCCAAGAGTTATACAGTAACGGAAGAATCACCTGCCTATTCTGTAAGTATTCTGGAAGTATTAGTGATGGTGTTTAAACGAAGATAATATATTGTGATAAAGTGGATAAAAAATAGATTTAAACGGGGATGTTGATTATTTGATATATAGTAGTGGTATTGATAATGGTGGTAAGAATGATAATGATAATGATAGTAATGATAATGATAATAGCAACAATAATAATATTGATAATGATAACAGTAATGATAAAAATGACTAATGATAATGATAGCAAAAATGGTGATGATGACGATGATAGTATGATGATCATAGTAACAATATATAATGACAGTGATGATTATTATAGCTATATCACGAATGATGATCTTAATAATAATAATAATAGTAAGTCTAGTCATGATAAGGATAATGATAACGCCGATAATAATAATGCTAATAACGATGCTAATAATGTTAATGACCTCAATATTACTGTCAAATATGGTGGTGGTTATAAAAACTACTAAATGATGATACAAAAAATAATGAGTATATTATGATATAAGCAACAAAGTTATCATTAACACCATCAGTATTACATTGGTGATACATTATTAACAGTAACATAACCGTCATAGCAGCAAGAATGATGGTAGTAGTTGTTAAGACCATTAAAGACGAAAAATATCAATTGAACTAATCCAAGTGATAATCAGAAAGCTCAAATGATATGAGTAATTGTGATGTTATAACCGCAGTGGTAATGATGAAGGTAAAATAATAGTAACAACTGATGATGATAATGACACTATTACCATTTATAGCTGTGGAAATGGCCTCCCGTGGACTCCATAATAATATTCTGCATCACAAAAGTACACATCACTGTACTTCGTGGTGCAGTTCGAAGACGAGTAAATAATTGTCAATAAGGACGGAGAATTGGGAATGATATATGATTTTTTTTTTTATTTTTTTTTCATAAAATCTGAGCTATATCACAGAACAGAACACAAGCAAAATAGCAGAAACGAGTGACCCAATTCTTGAAAAAAAAAAGAAAATACCAACGACGCTCTTTTCCCCTACCCCCAGTGGGACACGCTCCTCAGCAACATCGGGGGATCCCTGGGCCTCTTCGTCGGTGTCTCCCTGATCAGCATCCTCGAAGTGTTTGAGATGATCATCGACGTAATTTTCGCCGGATTCAAGAGATGCACAGGAGGTGGCAAGAAAGTCTCTCATAAGTCGGCTGAAGGTGAGGCTGTTAGCTTCAGGTGATGATGATTTATGGTGAGGATAAAGACACTAATGAGGATAAAGGCACTAATGAGGATAAAGGCACTAATGAGGATAAAGGCACTAATGAGGATAAAGACACTAATGAGGATAAAGACACTAATGAGGATAAAGGCACTAATGACGATAAAGACCCTAATGAGGATAAAGACACTAATGAGGATAAAGGCGCTGATGATGGTAATGGTACTAATGATACTGCGCACATATATGCAATATTAGTCCACAAAAGTGCTAACACCATGCAATGAAATAACTACAAATAACATACAATATAGCAATTACATGAACATATTACATATTATATGTTTATGCAATTTTTATATTACAATCATTACACAGACAACAATTCCACACAAGAAGTACATGCAGTAAATACAACAACAGTCTAACCAACAACCCATATGTAAGTACTAAGTGAAACAGCTGATTCTCATTATAATCGATAGTCTGACCGATTTTTCTTTTTTTTTCAGCATGGCAGGGAAAAATAGATGTTGTTGAGATGGATCGCCAAGATAAAAAATATAAGCAATTCCGAAAAGAACTTGAGATAATGGTAAAAGATATTGTACAAGATCTGAGCCAGAGTAAGTGACAGGTAAAAGTAAAGTGAATTCCAAAGATTTCATGTTCATTATTTTTTTGTTATTAATGTTGAATATCTACATAATCGGATAAATTCTATATCACTATATGTATTTTCTTCTTCTTCTGTAAGACTTGTTCGGTGACAAACTTGAATTTCGATATGATCCGATAAAAGAAAATTCAGTTTATTAACCACTTTATGTATCCATCTATCTGTCTATTCATTTATTTATTTACGTTTTTTTAATGTGTTTCTTGCCTTATTTTTCTCTTTTTTTCATCCTATGCTAATGCAAACATATGCTTGTCAAACACAGACGAATCCTCCGGCATACGAGTTCAGCCCAACAGTGCCAACTCCGGGAACAGGGAAGGCCTGGACGCCAGTCGAATGTTCAATATGCTTTTCCAGAAGCATCAATGATAGCTAGATAACCAGAAAAAAAAAACTGTTCAGATATTTCCGAGCTCTATTTCTATCATCTACTGCCATCTCTTTCTCTCTCTCTCTCTTTCAACCACTCTCTTTCTCTTTCTCTTTCAACCACTCTCTTTCTCTCTCTTTTTCAACCACTCTCTCTCTCTCTCTCTCATTCTCTCTCTTTCTCTCTCTCTCAGTATTATTGTTGGGTATGTGCAACGCCATTTATAACTATTTGTAACATGTTGCCAAGTTCTTGTTTGCTAGCACAGTGTAACGCTTGATTGTCACTGCCAAGGACGTGACAAGTATAGCTGTTGTTAAAAGATCCAAATATAGCACAGAAGGCTTTCTTTCTCTGTAACTTTGTAGTTTGCAAGTTCCGTCGGGATAATACTTATCAAATTATGATTTTTTTTTTTTTTTTTTTTGTATGATGCAAGGTGCCGATTATAGTATTCCCTTAACCCAATGGTGCCGGGGAAAATGAACAAAAAATGGGGAAAATATTGTGCCCACTTTCTATGTTTTTCGTGAAATGTCTGCCGATAGATGTCTCTGCTAGCGCCTGATTTAAATGGCGGGAAAAACGTATTTTTCACTTGTGCTATGAAAATCGATGGTGTTATTTTTATCATAAACATTATAATTTTTATAATGTTTTTTTTTACATTAGTAACAGCAAAATAAGATAACGTAAAATATTTCGTAAATCAAAGAAACGGGTAAACGGGCGAGACGGGCGGTGCTCATAATTGGCTCATTGGGGAGTTAGTATAAGTGTTGCCATATATGCGTAAAAACAATCAAACAAGTACTCTCTGTGGGCATAGCACGTACGTACACGTCATGCCCGGCACCAAGTGGGTAAGGCTGGTTGGTCTGCTGTGTGTGATCTGTCCCAACTGCATCACGACAATCTTTATCCTTTAAGTCCAGCCCTATAATTCACATAGGGCTTTTTCGTATTTTGTGTATGAGGTCCATTTTCAAGATTAATTTTAAACACATCTGTCTGTGGATATATATATATATATATGTGTGTGTGTGTGTGTGTGTGTGTGTGTGTGATCTATGTAAACACACACACACTTATATATGTATGTGTATGCATATATTTATACACACATATGTGTGTGTGTATATATATGTATATATATACATATAATATATATATATACACAATCATACAATACACACACACACATATATATACATATATATACACATGTATATATATATACATATACATACATGTTTATATATATATACACATATATATATACTCCACATGCATGCACATGGACCGTCATGCACAGAATATAGATAGCCTGCACATTATTTGTGTCTGTATTTCGTTTACCAATGTAAGTATAAATAAATAGATGTGAATAATATGTTTTTACCAGACCCCCGTAACTATTCACGAGTAATAATATTAGGAATGCTAATAATGTCGGTCATGATAAGGCCAACAGTAATAACATCATTGATAATCACTGATGATGATAATGATGATGATGGTGATGTGACGATAATTATTATGGTGATGGTAATGATAACATTTTCTTTTCACAACTCTAAACTATTTAACGCTTTTTAAGTTGTATGTTATTCAAGTTGTATGCAAATAACCAAACAAACTATCTCTATCTCTCTCTCTTTCTCTCTCTTTCTCTCTCTCCCTATCTATCTATCTATCTATTTGCCTTTCCCTCTTTTCCCTCTTCTATCTCTTCTCCCTCTCTTTCTCTCTCTCTCTTTTTTCTCTATCTCTTTCTCTCGCCCTCTTCTCTCTTCTCCCTCTTTTTCTCTCTCTTCTCTCTTCTCCTCTCTCTCTCTCTCTCTTTCTCTCTCTCCCTATCTCCCTATCTCTCTCTCTCTCTTTTTCTCTCTCTCCCTATCTCCCTATCTCCCTCTCTCTCTCTCCCTATCTCCCTATCTCTCTCTCTCTCTCTCTCTCTCTCTCTCTCTTTCTCTCTCTCTCTCTCTCTCTCTCTCTCTCTCTCTCTCTTTCTCTCTCTCTCTCTCTCTCTCTCTCTCTCTCTCTCTCTCTCTCTCTCTCTCTCTCTCTTTCTCTCCCTATCTCCCTCTCTCTCTCACTCTCTCTCTCTCTCTCTCTCTCTCTTTCTCTCTCTCTCTCTCTCTCTCTCTCTCTCTCTCTCTCTCTTCCTCTCCCTATCTCCCTCTCTCCCTCTCTCTCTCTCTCTCTCTCTCTCTCTCTCTCTCTCTCTCTCTCTCTGGGTGTAGAACAGATATCTTCAATTATTAATCCAGCGCCTACTTATTCCAGCAACTATAGGATATTCTCTAAAAGTCGAACCGAGTCGATCATCGATTTCCACAGAATAACATAGTCCTACCTATTTTTTCGTATTGTTTTTTATCACTAATAGTATTATAGTCACACCTCTTTTCAGACTTTAGTGAATATGAATACTAACTATACAGCTTATGAATACTCACATGATGTACGTGTATAAAGAAAGTAAATATTAATCACGTCACAAAAACAATAACTGGCACCTCGACATGCAGCGTCATCCTGTAAAACGGGTCGTTCCACGCCACCTGTAGTAGTTTCTGTTGGATTCGAACGTGGTAACTTCTTACGTCTGTTTGTTGCTTGGATACTGCTCTCATAGGCCTAAAATTTGTGTTGAGAAATATAAGGAAAGAGAAGAGGATTTTTTTATGAGAGAAATTCGCTAATTCAATGTTCAGAACCTAGTAAATATTTAACAGACTGGCTCATATATTGCTGTGACAGGGTGCAATGGCTATATTATGTGAAGGGTGCAAGCTATATGTTGTTTTTGAGGTGGAAAGAATGAGATACGCGTAGGTAATTGTTCTAGAAACTGACTGCAGTGAAGAAACAAAAGGGAGAGACAGAAATGACATTTGAAAAGCGACCTTATCGTCAAGAGCTACACTGATATTTCAAATACCACACTGAGGTCCGCATGGTATTAGGTTGCGTGACCTTTTCTTGATAGAAAAAGAAAAAAATATATATATATGAAATAAAAAATCAGGAAATATCAGAAATCTTAACGAAAAAAAAGAACATCAGGTTATAAAAGAGACATGTTATCAAAACCAGTCTAACAAAAAAAACACCCATCGTTATTTTCGTTGTAGAGAAAACCAACTCTTTTCCCCTTTATCTCGAATCCTGACTCAGTATGACCTGTTCACCTGTTCACTTCGTCGTGGTCACAATCATGCTGTATAGTGTGGCCTTCAAAAGTAAGTATCCCCACTTTATGAATATTTTTTCTTTTTTTCTACAACTAATTTTTAAAAACCCTTCATGTTTTTTTGTGGGTTAATGGATGACTAGAAGAACACACACGCGATTTGATTAGCATTTGACTCCAAGCTCTGATCCTGAGGAAATTATTACCACGTGTAAGGGAGACAGAGAGTGTGAGGGAGAGTAACATAAAACGAGAGCGAGGCAGAGTGCGTGTGTGTGGGGGGGGGGGGGGGGTTGCGTGTGCCCGTGTGCGTGTGTACACATTTCTTTACGTGCAGGAGTTTACAAGCTCATATTTCCTGCCTCACTTCCGTACTCGTACCGACGCCCTGCACCAAAATACCACGTCGGGATATTCCCAAGGCCCGGTTCGCGCCATTTTTTGTTCATTAAAAGAACTCTGTAACACTATTAGGATGAGAGACCACGCATGCGCAGAACAGTATGCAAAATGGCTCCTCTCATTAATGAATAATTTATCGCTATCATTACTCTCTTCCAGGAACAAGTGAGTTCTTACGTAAAAGACAGAGTTAGATATAGTTATAAGGGTAAAATGTAATATGCTTGGATATGTATTGATAGATACAGTATGTCTCTATATGTGTGTGTGTGTGTGTGTGTAATATATATATATGTGTGTGTGTTAAATTTAGGTATGTTCTGGTAGGTCAGCCACGAAAATTTGCAATGTGATTCCACGTAGTAAGAATGCATTGATCCGAGCTTTGTCAATATCTTTAACGCATACGCCCGACAGCACCGCCTTAGCACAGTAAATAATCCAGAGCTTGTGACGTCAATCTTTCCCAAGAGGACATAGACAAAAAAAAATACTTTCGTTATGGAGAAAAATAAGAAAATAGTGAAAAAAAATCCCATGTGCATATTGATAGAGTAAATTTAGGGAGTAAAGCATAAGAAGATGAATAAAATCATGTATATATTACATAAAAAGGAAAGGTGGTTGAATTTCATTATGTGCACTTCATGAGAATGAAAAAAAATCATAAAGCAAAAGGTATAATTTTCATCGAGATTTTGTTTTTTGATGCAGTGAAATTGCGGTCATTATGTATCTTTCGTAAAAATAGTCATTTCTCATTCATAGCTTTTCTAGATTTCCCATAATAAACTGGAGACTGTGGGAGTCACACGATGGTAGGACATGATACAGAGGATTATTTTATTCTTGTCTTGACCATCATAATGCTCTTGTTAAAGGAAAACTTGGATCTCAAGTATGAAAGGAGCCAGCTCAAAAGAGGAAATTACTGAGTCTCCTCAAAGTCGCTAAATAGAATAACTGAAGAGGAATCCTTTCACTATGATTAAGCCATTCATTATAAATTAATAAACACAATGGGGATAACTTAATGCTTTTGTAGATTTCGAACGAGAATAAAATATGTATATTCTTTTTTGACATTTCAACTTTCTACAACTTTAAAGATTGTTTACTTTAAGATTTAATAATACTTTGTGTATCTCATATATGCACTAGACATTAAACCATTCAAAAGTGCACATTGCATGCAAAGAATTGTTGTATCTGAGTATTTTGGGGGACGGGACGCTAAAAAGGCTAAGAACCACTGCTCTAGACGGTCAGGCATATTGAATGCAAAACTAAATTATGATAACTGACACCTGTTGGAGGGGAGGGGGTGGGGTGGGTAGAATGAATGAATGAGTAGAATAAGAATTTGAAAAGTAAAACGATATATTTGAACCACTTTGT